TAGCTTTTTCCCTCTCCTGCCTAATCCCTGTAATGCTGCAGCCAGTCAGTTCTGAGTTTCCATTGCTGGAACTGACACACTGCATGGGAAGGACATGGGTAGGTGTTGCTGGTCGTCGGGCTCCCTAAGCAGCTGGGTCTCATTCCCTCCCTGCTGCTTTTCTACCTTCCTGTGAAAAGAGGTGCCCAATAAAATTGTGTGGATATGAACTATAGTTTTACAGTTATTTAAATATTTTATTTAAAAGATACTTGCTTTGTGTCTTCACAGAGTTCTGTATAAACGCACTGTAGGAGTGAACTCATTGAGATACCTGCTCTAATAGCAGGAGCTCATAAGGCGCTACAGTACACTCTGGGATTCAGCATTTACTGTAAGACTGTGTGCAGGACTCTGTGTGCCATTTACCCATATGCTTTTATTGCTATTTCAGGACAAGCTGGCTCAGTCATTTCTGCACCAGCTGGGATTATATCCTAGTGAGCAGCATCCCGAGGTATGGCTGTTGCCTAGAAATAATATCTTAAAGTTAGAATATTGATGCAATTGCAGAGTCCCCACTTTCCCGTGTTTAAATCTCTAAATGCCACCTCTACTGCTCATGAGCTCGAAGGAAGATGTCATTTTCATTTGAATGGAGAATGGAAGAGCTTCCCAAAATAAAAGCACTTATTTCATTCAGCATCAACAGCAATATGTCTCTTTTCAGTGTTTCATCTTCTCAAAATGGTGCTTCCTTCTGATAATGGCCCCTTACACAGAAGGAGATGTAGCCAGTCCCTTCTCCGGAACACGCTGTGTAGAGATGCATGACTCATATTTTGTAAAGGGGTAGCTCTGTGCTGCCTGTTGTAGCTGTGATGAATAAGCTGCCTTGTTAGAGGTGAAGCTGTGTCCCAGAGCCCAGCACACCATGCAAAGCAGGTCCTTTACCACATTCAGGTCACTGCTGCTTCCTTTTTATCCAGCCTTGGATAAAAAGGCTGGATAATATATATCCAGCTATAATGCCTGAAACTTTGTGCACCCGGTATTTATGTATATGAAATTCATCTGGCCATTTCTTGTTCTTGCTCTTTCACTCCTTTGGCCTTGTCTGCTTGGTTGTTTTGTGGGGACACTCAGCTGAATTCTTAACTAATTCAGTTCCAAATACTATTAACACTGGTGACTATTCTTGACCACATACCCAGCTGTACTGCAGCATCATCTGTAGGTGAATGTTGTGCCTGCACAGCTTGGAAGACAGGTGCATATAGGCTGGCCTGAACAAGGCCCAGCACCAAGGCCTCTGTGCTGGTTGGCAGCAAGTAGAAAAGGTGCTGGCAAGACTAACAGCTAGCAAGAGAGCATTGCCTTATGGGAATGCTGGACATGTGGCAAGCCTTCGTGACTTTACCCTTCACACACACAGTGAGTGCTGGAGTAAACAGATGCTTAACCAGCACGCCAGGCAGGTAACTTCCATTTCATCAGAGCTGGATGGATGCAGAAATAAAATTAAAGCTGTGTCAGACTGGGCATGTCCTTGCTTGACTAGTGAAATCCTAGCAATTAGCAAGAATGATTGTTAGTTTTTCACAGGATTGGCAAGCCCCTCTGGCTTTTAACGAAGATATGTACATAACATTTGTTATAGTTGTAAGCAAGCCTTAACCTAGATTAACTCCTTCTACACTAGTGGAGGAATTCCCTCCATCAGTGTACGCTGATGAGGGCTGAAAATGCTGAGACCTGGAGCAGAGGTAGCTTGCAGCTGGTCCCTGTTGCAACCAGAAACAGAAGGTGTGGCAGAAAATTGTCAAGTTCAGCATGTTTGCGTCAGCAGAGGTTGAATGTATCACTGTGTGTCTAGCAGAATAAAGCATCTAATGCTCAAAGGTGGACACTTGGGAATAATTTACTAGTGGACTGCTAGGCAGGTTAATAAAAGGATTTAGTTGCGTTTTACATAAAAGGCTTCATTGGCCTACAAGTCAGAGACTTTTGATCACAATGTCTGCTTGTGCTCACAATGCTTTGGAGTCAAATTTAACATTAGCATACATCTCCAACTTGTGTACACTACTGTTGAAGATGTGTAGGATGAAGAACTAAAACAGGCCTTTGTGTATTTACTTATTTACTCGTGTACTGTAAGCAATATATTTGATTAGAATCATGGAATAGTTATTGAGTCATAGAATCTTTTAGGTTGGGAAAGATCTTTAGGATCGTCAAGTCCAACTGGTAACCTAGCACTGCCACCAAACCATGTCCTTAAGCATCACATCTACATGTATTTTAAATGCCTTTAGGGATGGTGACTCAACCACTTCTCTGGGCAGTGTGTTCCAATACTCAATAACCCTTTTGGTAAATAAATTTTTCCTAATAGCAATCTAAACCTCCCCTGACCCAACTTGAGGCTGTTTCCTCCTGTCCTACCAATTGTTACACCAACCTGAGACTTTTTATGCACTCTAAATCCTGGTTCTCTCAGATGCTCCTTATAAGAGTTGTTCTCCAGTCCCTTCACCAGCTTTGTTGCCCTTCTCTGGACTCACTCCAGCACCTCAATGTCCTTCTTGTAGTGAGGGGCTCAAAACTGAGCACAGTACTCAAGGTGCAGCCTCACCAGTGCCAAGTACAGGGGGACAAGCTAGTCCTAGGGACAGCTGTAGTCCTGCTGGCCACACTATTTCTGATAAAAGACAGGATGCTCTTGGCCACCTGGGCACACTGCTGGCTCATGTTCATCCAGTTGTCAACCAGTGCCCCCAGGTCCTTTTCTGCTGGGCAGCTCTCCAGCTACTCATCCCCATGCCTGTACTGTTGCATGGGGTTGTGCAGGCTCCAACACTTGGCTTTGCTGAATTGGCCCATTGATCCAGCCTGTAGAGATCCTTCTGAAGAGCTTTCCTACCCCCAGGAATATCAACACTCCCTCCCAACTTGGTGAAAAGACAGGATGCTCTTGGCCACCTGGGCACACTGCTGGCTCATGTTCATCCAGTTGTCAACCAGTGCCCCCAGGTCCTTTTCTGCTGGGCAGCTCTCCAGCTACTCATCCCCATGCCTGTACTGTTGCATGGGGTTGTGCAGGCTCCAACACTTGGCTTTGCTGAATTGGCCCATTGATCCAGCCTGTAGAGATCCTTCTGAAGAGCTTTCCTACCCCCAGGAATATCAACACTCCCTCCCAACTTGGTGCTGTCTGCAAACTTACTGAGGGTGCACTTGATCCCCTGTCTAGATTATTGATAAAGATACGAGTTTAGATTAGTTTTAACCAAATGGTTCAAGACCCCTTGTCAAGCTTGTCACCAGTTTGTAACACCTTACAGATCTCAAAAGGTGAAAAAAATGTTTGGCCATTCTTTTCTTGTTGGTGATTGTTATCCATGGATGTTCACTTGACTATATTTAATGATGTTCTATAACAGGCTTGTCCAAAACATCTTAACTTTTTTGTAAGGCATTACTTTCTTACCAGCCTTTCTTAGATGTATGAAGTATTGCAGTGCTATACCAGATAATGGCTTCTTCCTGACTCTGAAGTCTTAAGACCCAAACTTTTGTGGGTGCACTTGATCCCCTGTCTAGATTATTGATAAAGATACGAGTTTAGATTAGTTTTAACCAAATGGTTCAAGACCCCTTGTCAAGCTTGTCACCAGTTTGTAACACCTTACAGATCTCAAAAGGTGAAAAAAATGGCCATTCTTTTCTTGTTGGTGATTGTTATCCATGGATGTTCACTTGACTATATTTAATGATGTTCTATAACAGGCTTGTCCAAAACATCTTAACTTTTTTGTAAGGCATTACTTTCTTACCAGCCTTTCTTAGATGTATGAAGTATTGCAGTGCTATACCAGATAATGGCTTCCTCCTGACTCTGAAGTCTTAAGACCCAAACTTTTGTATACAAGGTCTAATATGTAGGGAAGGTCAAGAACTGCTATCTGTGAGGCACCATAGACAAAGGAAAATTAGTTCCCCCATAGCTCTATAATGCAAGAAGATTTTATCTTGTGAAACAGTTGATTCCCTGTGTTATTATTTAATGTCTTAGATAATGCTGATTTTTGCCTTCAGTGTTGATCTACATCTGCAAATTAACAATTATACAGACTTTAAATTCTCCCTCACAAACCCTACTCTACATACACAATACCTGGAGGACAAATGCTGGACTCTTGTTCCAGAAGGTTTAAAAATCATGTGGTGGGGAAATGAGCCTCAGAGTATTACCTGTACAGTGTGGTACTTGAAATGTAAAACATGCTTCACAGAGCAGACAGCAGGGATGATGTCTGTCACTTTTTTTTTTTCTTTTCTTCATACTCTTCTCCCTTAACAGAAAACTGTAATCAAGGTGTATGTATAATCAGGAAGCATGAAAAAGAATAATTTTTCTTTCAGTGGAGGCTTATAATGAGAGGATTAATATTTCACATAATCTTATCAGACTTCATCTCTGACTGGCTGGCAGCATCTACTTGGCATTCAGCAGTCCATCTGTTTGTTGTCTGAAAGATGGAAGGATGAAATAGTGAAGACGTAAGATCACTGGAAACAGTCTTTACATTACTGGCTGCAGCTATTGGTTATCTGTAGCCGGACTACTGAAAGACGTATTTAAATATGTGCCAGCTGATGTACACAGGGATGGGCTTGGAAATAATGTAGTCACTGAAGAGAGAGAAGGCATTTAAGCAAGGTGTAGTTCTGTTGCCAAGGAAGTAATAACTTCTTCCATTTCTACAAAAAGCACATCTTCGATGCTGTATGAAGAGAAGCTGTGCAAATCAGACTTTACTATGTTGTCACTGGGAGGCTAAAGCATAAGTATCTCTTTTTTTTTTTTTTTTCTTTAGAGAAAGAAAAAGAAGAAGATCAAGAAAAGCAGCAGAGTGAAGAGCAAGAAAAAGCTGTAGAACACAGTTCTGCAAAGGAAGCTGACAAAACCAGCCGTACAGGACAACGTTCAAGCCGAAGTGCCTTGTCCAGTCGTAATGATCGAAGATCAGCAAAAAGTCCTCAAAAGACAGATCCACCAAAGGAGAATAAACATCCATTTGCTCTTTATGGGTGGGGAGAAAGAAAGACAGATACTGGAAGTCAGAAAACTCATAATGTCTGTGCTTCTGCTTCAGTAAATGAAGTAAGTAAAAGCTTCTTGTTAGCAACCCTTTCTGCTTCAGGATAGGGACTGGGACAAATACCAAGTGATCCTCAGCCTTCCAGAGGGCATTTCTAGGTTGTTTTCCTGCTGTAATTCTAACTCTGGTCTTTCAGATTCATGAATAAGAAGAAGATCAAGAAAAGCAGCAGAGTGAAGAGCAAGAAAAAGCTGTAGAACACAGTTCTGCAAAGGAAGCTGACAAAACCAGCCGTACAGGACAACGTTCAAGCCGAAGTGCCTTGTCCAGTCGTAATGATCGAAGATCAGCAAAAAGTCCTCAAAAGACAGATCCACCAAAGGAGAATAAACATCCATTTGCTCTTTATGGGTGGGGAGAAAGAAAGACAGATACTGGAAGTCAGAAAACTCATAATGTCTGTGCTTCTGCTTCAGTAAATGAAGTAAGTAAAAGCTTCTTGTTAGCAACCCTTTCTGCTTCAGGATAGGGACTGGGACAAATACCAAGTGATCCTCAGCCTTCCAGAGGGCATTTCTAGGTTGTTTTCCTGCTGTAATTCTAACTCTGGTCTTTCAGATTCATGAATCTGCTCTACGAGCAAAGAACAGGAGACAAGTGGAGAAAAGGAAGCTGTCTCAGAGGAGAGTACGATCAGCAGAAGCAGACAAAGCTTGGCGGATAAAGCCCTCTCCACCAGATAACCCTTGGATGACAGAATATATGAGATGCTACTCAGCAAGAGCTCGGTGAATTTGGATTCTCTTTAGCATCTTCAAAAGAAGTTACACATATCAGGACGCTAGTGCAAGGAACCAAACCACTTATGCAAGGTTTTTATAGGGAGTTTCCAGCTGATAAATACTTGTTACAGTGTTTTTATCTTGGCTACCTACCTCACAGTGGGATGTATTGTTGGAGCCCTAACATTTGAAGAGGCTTTTATAGCTACCCAAACTTTTAAACAATTCCCCTTTTGGGAATCTTTCTAATGCTTCAATTGACTTGTTTTGGGGATGGGGGGGGGGAACCTTAGCACACAGGGAGGCAAAGAAAACACTTTTTTGATCTTGGTTACAAATATTCTGTTATCTCTTATTTAAAAAGTCCTAAGTCATGGGGAGGTGATACTGGGGAAAGGGTTTAAAAGTGTGATGGAGGTGCTTTTGTACTATTTAATTATTTTACCAAAAGAAGTATATTGAGACAGGCAACAGGAAAGCCAGTGGGTCTGGTAAACAGCACTAATAAATACAAATGTTTTAGGCAGGCAAATACCAAGTATTTCCTGGATGTAGAAACTTTCAAAAAACCTTGTTTGATTAGTGAATTTGCTGATAACTTTTATGGGTGTTTCTAAAGTCATTAGAATAAACTATTAATTTTCAGGGCAAGAAACAGCTACAGGATTGTGTTGCTGTGCCTGTTGTACCAAATAACTGACGTAGACAATCATTATCTTGACAGCTGCTGCTCAGTAAGCAGTTGCTTGTTCTACCAGTATCAAGTTGTACCACTTTATTAAGCTTGTGGTCACACTTCCTCTATGCTTAATCCTGTAAATGCCAGTTTATTGAAGGAGAGGGCTGGCTCCTGCTGTCTAGTGAAGTCTATTTTTAACACTTAAGACTATATATTATGCTCAGTGGGGGTCAGTGCAGTATGCATTCCATTGGTGGTATGGTACAAGCATACTGTTAAAGATTTTACAATTGAAAATTGTGTTGATAAAATTTGTAGGTGAAGTCCTGAGAAGCTTCCTGTCTCTCAGAATTGGTGCAGGACTCCTCACTGTGGGGGATGAGGGCTAGGGAAGGAGGAGAGGTATACTCTTTAGCAAACAGGAATATATAATGGAGTTTGTGAGATCCTCAGTGCTTGTCTGGTTTGTTTCCTTCAAGCTGTAAATTTTTTCAGTTCAATACCTAAGCTTTAGGCAGATAATTGCTGTAGTTGTGAAGTTGATGTTTTTTTCGGATGCGTTGTGTTTTTCACATATGTTGATTATCTCAGTTCAGTTGTTTTGAAGCTTGCGTTTTACAGACTGGACACCTTTTCACAGAAAGCACACTTGCACTTCTGCAGCAGAAACCTGCACTAGTCTTAGCTTCATTCCACAATCTCAGTGAGTAAGCAGATCTCCAGAATTACTACTGTAACAGTTACACCCTTAGTGAAAAGTCTGTTATTGAAAGAAAAGTAGTCATGCAAAGGGACCAAGCACTGCTGCCTCCTAGTGGGAATTACATCAGTAAAAGTTTTTCATTAATCTCAGTTTTAATTTTGCTAAAATGTCCTAGAATCCACGGAATTATAATCTGATTTTTATCCACCTTTTAAGTATAGAGCTATACAAATACAACTCTTCTTCAGACTACTTAGTAGAGACCTTACAGCTTTTAAGTCTGGGAATGCAAAGCATGAAGTATGTTTTATACAGAGCAAAATCACTGTATTCTAACTTCTAAGTAAACCACAGGCTAGCACTTACTAGAACTATAGAACAGTGCCCAAAACAGAGGCAAGCTATTCCAGAGAGTGCCTTTATACCATATGAGATTCCTTTAATTTCCTTTTATGCTGTGTTTTCCTTTTAAAATAGCTGCTGTAAATCTGCTAAAGTTGCTTCTGATGCTGTTTCAATTCAGAAGTCCACCTGAGCTTAGAACAACAGTATCAAAGCACTAACTCAGTAGTGTTGAACAGCCTTATTGAATGCGAGTTCTGCCTGTTCCTGCTGCCCAGAGTACCATATACACCTTTGGGTGTGTGGGCTTTATGTAACTGTAGTAGCTGGACCGTAGCCTAGTGTATTTTCTCACATTGAACCGTTTCCTTGGTTGTATAGGGCAGGTTTCATCTTGCTGTGCTTTTAAAGACAGCTTCTACAGTTCTCCCACTGAGAATGGAGCAGCCAAGATGACGTGCCCGCCTTAAGTACCTGTTGTTGGATTAGATGAATCTCCTGTTAGATATTCATCTTTCAAATAATTATAGAAGGCTTAAATGTCATCTGCATTGGATGCTACGTACCAAATCTAAAACATCTCAGTCTTGTTTGGGAGTCAGCACAGCATGAGAATCTTCAACAGCATCAAGACTGCTGTATACTGAGGAAATAACCTAGTTCTTATCCTTGTCTGGTCACAAGAGCTGTTGCCCACCAAAACAATTTGGTAGAAAGACAGCAATGACAAAAATTGGGTCATGTGAGTCACTCTCATGCTTTTTCAAATAGTCTGCAGCTAAAAATAGTCCTGGGTGCTATGTTGGTACTATCTTAGTTTAAATAATATAATGCCTGAAATGGGGGGTAAATTATTCTGCAAATCAGGTAGCCTTCCTGCATTTGGGCATTATTTGACTAAAAAAAGGCTAGCAGGTTTGCTTAGATGATGTGAAATAGTATAGTTCTGATGACTGCAAGTTGTACATGCCAAATACTGGAAAACCATTATTTTAGTGTTTTGATGTTAACAGATGAAAAGCCAATTGACTTGGAAAGCAGATCTTTTCAAGTGTCAAAGCTTTAATGATATTCCATCAATTTTCACAGGAGGTGGCTTTTTTTGCATGAAATTGGACTCATTAAAAAGGGGAAACCTAGTAAATGTCACTCTAATAAGGAAGTTCTTCGCTTTGTGTTGCATGGACTCTTGAATTCAGCCAAGTGATGAACACTTCTCACTCTTGCTTTATAAGTAAAAGTTTGTAAGAACACAGTAAACAGTTGTCCAAAGTCTTCATTAAAATAACTGTTTCTTTTTTGGTTTTGAAAGTATTTAGGTAAGTGAAACAAGACTTACAATGTGTCATGCTGCAATTTGACTATAGTGTTGTGAAGACTAGTGTTTACAATGTAAAATGTTACAATGAAAACTGCTTAAGAATGTCCCCTGTAAAATACAGTAGCATGCCTGTTCAGTCACCGCTGTCATGTCTTTGCAACTTACAGACTTACAGACTTTTTCACTGGAAGCTGAGAGAGTTGAGGTGAGAGCCAAACTTAAAGCTGAGGGACAGACCTGGATTTTTGGTAAGAATTGTATCTGGGTAGCAAATGCACATTTAAATGAAATTTGTAATGTGTAGGGGAATCAGTTTGTTTTTTTAATGGTATAATGCAGTGCCACTGAACTACAAAGGCCTCTCTGACTCTTTTAACTGTAGTAGGGACCAAAAGCTAGCAATCTGAGGGCCATATGCATGGGTAACCTGGGTGTTTCAGTTTATTTTTCAGTTCAGTTAGTGCACTCAGCAGCAAAGCCATACATGGAGCCTGATTCAACACCTTGACAGTAGCCCCCATAACACTAGGGGTACAAGTGAATGGGAAGCTGCCTCAGCTATTGTTAGCACTGAATTCACTTTAAAAACTATAGGGAAATACCATCTAAGCTTGAAGCAATATGTGTTTTTTAAAGTTTTTAAACAGTATTTGTTTTTAATGCTTCTGTATTGTCTATATTTAATAGTGTAGTGTCAACTTGCATATGTGAATAAAGTAAGTGACATGAAGTGCCTTGACTGTTTGTACTGTGGCTTTTGGGGACTTTGGTTTTCCATTACAGGGTGCTATAGCCTCTCTGCAGACTGGGGGTTCTGCTTGTCCCATAGACACTCTCCTGAAAAGGCTTCTATAGTGACTGGTGTTGGGGAAAGGGTTAGATTACCTTTGTAAGGGAAGCTGAGAGCTGACCTTGTCTCTCATGTTCTTCCTTTAACTCTCCCACAGATTCTTAATACCCTTTCCCCATCTGACTGACTTTTTTTCCATGTTAGTGGTAGAAAATAGCACTTCATACAGCTATTCTATTTTAGATTCTATATGTGCTGAAGCCTTTGGAAATCTTACTTTAGAGCTTTGGAAAAGAGGGTAACATGGGACTAAACAGAAAGCTGCATCACTAAGAACAAATATAATCTTGCAAAGCTATTGAAGGATGAGTGTACTTAAGTTTTATGTGCTGCTGGTTCTACAGTAAAAGAAGTAAACCAAAGCTACCTGGTATTTTTAATCTCTGTATTTAGTGTATTTATTGAGATTTTAATAATGTTTAATGCAGCATATAGAATGTAATGCAAATTAGTAATTGGGCTTTTTTATAGCATGCATTTTTTTAAGGACTTAAGGGAGCTGTGTACTTTTAAGCCATACAAAGAATGGTTAAGAGATGCAGTCAGCTTGCCTCAGAGCCTGGAGAATTCTTAAGTACAAATGCATTCTGTATTTCCCTTTGCTTACTGCTGTAAAGAAGCTAGGCTTCTGAAGCCACATTCTCTAAGAGATCTAGAAAGATCCATCTCGGACACAAGGAAAGTTTAGTTTACTTTGCAGCCATGACTTCTCAAGGGCAAGCAAAAGGGATGTTCCTCTCTCTCAGGATGGCAGCAGGGGTGTTGCAGGGTTGGGGCCCTCCCTTGCCAGGGTGATGAAGCCCTGCTCCTGGGAAATAGTGAAGCAGTTCAGCTTCTTTAGCAGCTGTTGCTGCTTTCGTAGCCCCATACTATCTGTGCAATGAATTTAGTAGAAGAGTTTTTCTAAGACCACCTAACACTTGTCATGTGTTGGACTTCACTTAGCAGGCAAAACCTGTACAAATAAATAGAATTTGTTGTAAAACACCTAGAAAATCAAGGAAGATTCTTTATTGGGTGCTAGATACAAGCATTAAATAAAATAGTGTAGGCCAACATACTGATTAAAAGGCAAGACATAAGCTTTAATAAGACATTTAAATCTTTGAAAGGTC